TTGTGATTGTATAATATTATTCATGGGTACTTGAAACGTCTAAAGTATACTACTATATATCTATGATAGTATCAGGGTTTGTTGTTGGTGTATAACGCGTCATAAGTACCTAATGGATAATGTGATATGATTATTTTGGAATTCACTTAGGTCAATTTTTTTTAATACCATATATAAGTATATAATATGTCTATTATACCTAGAAGGACATACCGTCTCCGCTCAGAATCGTTTTTCTTATACGATGATATAATATCATTGAATTCAAATGTAATACCATCCATTATACAGTGACCCACTTGTAATCTACTGTACAGCAGAGCGACACTCACTTGCCCACCTTTTTTTTCTATAAATACCAATAAAAATGTATATGTTGGTTAAAAAAGCTTGAAAATTTAATAGAAGCCCTAGTATATTGTTTCAAAGGTGGATGAAAAAAATAAAAATAAATGGTCACAATTTTTTTTAAAAGCATTTAAAGTTCAAATATTGACAAAATACTTAAAAATGAAGAAAATTTGCAAATTATTTTGAGTTAGAAATTCTTAAAAAATTTTCTTTTTAAATCTAAGATTTTAAAATGAAATACAAGATTATTCATAAGTTTGTCTATCTTTATCAAAAAAAAAATGTCTTCAAGCAAATCAAATTAAATTTTAACGAGCGTCTGAAGTTCATTTATTTTTTACGATACTTTCATTGCCAATATTTGTGAATTTGTAAAAATCCTAGTACGTTATGATTAGAGCGCGGATTTCTATGCAATTGCATATTTGTTTCCTTTTAGAATTTTTGGATTTTTGTCAGTATTCTCTACGAATCATCATAATTTGAAGCAAATGGTGAAATTTTTTTTTGCATATTTCTGCATATTTCAATGTTATTGCATAATTTTGCATATTTAGGAAAAATTCAAAATGTATTGCATATTTATTGCATATTGAAGCAAAAATTTAAATAAATTTATAAAATAATATTTTGTCAAGTAGAAAAATTAAAAATACATTTTATGGGCACGACGTAAACTTAATCGCTCTTGCTCTGTCAGTCGGTTATCGTCGTTATCGAGAACGAGATAAAAACCAACAAGAGTTACGTCTTGTTACAATATATAGAGATACTGACCGAACATTTTAGGTTTTTAGACATAGAAAACATATCTTACCTGGAGAAATGGCGGACAACAGTTAGGCGAGTGAGAGTGAAATATTGGTAATATACTTTTCAAAAATTCTTATTAATACATGTATTCTATCATTAAATTAAATACATTCAATAATATTAAAAACATATGAATGATGAACATTTTGTGAAATTAAATGTTATTGAATTATAATAAAATTGAATTTTATCATTAAATAGTAAACAATTATACACTAAAATACTTTTTTACTTCATTTTTACATGTACATATTTTTATCCATTGAGTTTTATAATAATGTACTCCTATTTTGTTTTTAAGATATTATACTCGTAGATCTGAAAGTTAAAGAAAATGTTTTGAAATATAACTAGAAAAAATAATTATTATTGCTTTATTTTACCTATGACATGCCATACCAAATACTATAAGTATTTTTGAAGAGAAACTTTTTTCGCATGTACCTGGGAAAATAAATTATGTGCCGGTCGAGTGTTACGTACCTAAGTAAATAAGAAGTGCATAGTATTATTGTAGAATATGTTTAACTACTTGACTTAGATAAATGTTTTTACTATCAAAATTGTTCTTATAATCAGATTCACAAATTAGATATTTTGAATAGGTATATCCAAAAAAAATTTAATCGAATTTTAAATTTTTTATTTTCAGTGTTAAAAAATAAAAATAATTTTTTGTATAATACATATATGCGTAGCACAAGTGACTATAAATTATATCTAAATAAAACAAAATTTAAAATATCGATTAGAACAAAAGTTATTCCAAAAGTCAATTCTATCTGTTACACTCTGCAGTATAGTTGACGGATAAAATTCAAAAACTGTGAAATCCAAGAAACAAGTTAACAATTATTTGATTTATTTTTTTTAATTTTTAATGTTACACTAATAAATTGTAATTAATAATTCTTAATAAAATAATAAATAATAAATAATAATACATTATTAAATGCATATTTTTAAATTTTTTAAGCATATTCTACGGTTTTTAAGTGCATATTTTATCGTTTATTATTGAGTTTTTAAGTGTTATAAGTTCCGAAACCTAACTATGATAAATATAAATAACTTGAGCATAAAAATTATATTTTAACATCCTATATCCTATACATTTATCTTGTATCAGTGCTATAGTATGCATAGCTAGGTGGTTTTTGGTACAATTAAAGTTATCCATCAACTACTAGTTGAATGCACAGAAATATAAATTGAAGTAATTGAGTATCAAAAAAATAATTAACAAATAAATAGGTAGTATTATTGTTTTTTTTTCAATAGATAACGAATTCTATTGACGTTTTCGAATTTAATCGAATTTAACATATAATTAATTGTATTTTGTCATTTAAAACCAACAGGTGTACTTATTTGTACTCACAAACGTCTAACATAAAACTTATATAACGTAATATACTGGTAGTCCAGGTGACTACTTGTATATTAACGTTGCAGGTAGCTAGACCGTTTCGCTGATGATGATGAAGAGGTAGTTGTTGAAATAAAGTGTAGACAGATGTAAATATAATGTGGTTTTATTATAATGTTCTTCAATAATTTGTGCCGAGTCCAAATTACATTTATGTTGTACAAAGTGTCGTGAAGGTGCTTTCAGTACAGTGGAGTGTACACGTCTGAATACAGGCCATTTCGGGGTCCCTCTTATAGTCCAGTCCCCGCTCCCCTTGTCTAGTGATACTGTATCTCGGTTCTCACGGATGTGGCCTATGTGACCAATGACCATTGACCTAGCCCACGCACTTGCGAAATTCATAGTCGATTCTGAGTATTACCATAGTGTCCTGATAGCTAATCTATGAATTGCCAATTTCATTATAATTAATCATGCTACCCTTTTATATTGAATACCCGTCATAGGTATATGGTGCTATTGCAAAACATGACATCCGCCTAGTCTATGCGATTCTAGAATCGTATCATACTAAGCCATAATGATTAATTGTAAATTTGTTTATCCTTTCGCTTTGGTCACTGTACCTGTTCGCGCCAAGCAATTATTGCTTAACGCGGGACGCTTTCTGCGCGACGGCGATATCTTCCCTCCTCTTCCGTCCACTCATCCCGTTACTATTGAAAAACGATTATGATAATTATTATAATTGTACGATTGTTGTATTTCATATTGTATAATATATTATTCTCTTTGTTTTTCTCATAAAAATTATCGGTCGGCCTTTTGCCTCATATTAAAATGTTTTCGATGTTATCTCTATGAGATAAAAAGTTTGTTTTTTGTTGTTATTATTACGGCCAACGCCCTTTCGTATTTCTTATTCAATTGTTCAATTTTTTCTTATTCGTGTTTTTTGGTCCTCTATTACAGCGTCCATACGTTTTTTTGTTTTATATATTGTGTGATCCGCTCATATAGCGATCAATATTATTATTAATATAAATATTATTTGTTGTGATCTGCTAATATAGCGATCCGTGAATGGTGTGTGTGGTCCGCTAGTAAAGCGAGTACAAAATATATTCATTTATTTTATATTTCATGGTGCACACGGTTGCCGATTATTACTATTATTATTTTTTATTATTATACTGGGTGTCACTAAACAATCTGAGAAACAATAAAAATACGATCTCCAACAAAAATTCGTAAGTCTCTACTTTGTTATTATCACTCTCGTCATCACCCTTGGCAGCTCGTTGTTGTCGACGTCGGTGCCGTCAGATTCCGCGAGTAAGTCCGCCAGCAACGTAGGTATGTACGTTGTGTGAGAGGCCGCCCCAGGTCGTCCAGGTCGACGAATGCCAACAGCGTCAATCCAGTGGGTCATCTCAAGACTGCAGTAGGGTTAAGGTAGTTTTAAGTCTTATCCCTATTGTTGTGAGCTCTGTGGTCATTGCACCAAACCGAATCGGCCACAGAGACCCCCTACCCATAACTAGCCTGCACCATCCTCACTCCGTCAAATAGGTCTTTCCCATCCTCGTCGTTGTCGTCGTCGTGCGTAGAATTACCTACCCACCAACCATCAGGCGAAAGCACTTAGGATTGCCTATCAACCACAATAGTAGGTGGTAGGAGTGACACAGGCCAACGTCAAACACCCTCCTCATAAACAAAATTGTTCTCGGGCATCACCGAGTGGTCCTTCGGCTGTCACGGTTGAATTCTCGGGCGTAAACAGTACCTATTATGGGCTGTTCGATTATTTTGTATGAAAACATAATCGAAGGTTAACTAGTTATTTCTATTTCCATTTGACATATCTGATAATTACCTATCTACAATATACTATACTAAATATGGCACCTGTTGGGACTTTAAATGTTATATAGTAACTAGTGTTATACTTATATTTGTTGATCATTATTTTTTGATATTGATTATAATATGTTTTTTATTAGATATAATAAAAATTTGCCTAAATAAAAATATAACTTAAAAAGTTCAGAAATATTTTCATATATATATATACAAAAACCCTTCGTAAACTACGTGTAAAAATGGCTAAGTAAAAAAAATATAAGATTTTTAAGCACTATAAAGATGTGATATCATGAATGAATGCTAAGTTTATTGAATTTAAGTAAACTTATTTTGTTTCAGTAGTTTATTTACTAAGCGAAGAATTATGTAAAATAGTATATAAATATTAATAATATATTTTAATAGTCCTTCACTCCTTTGCCATTTAATTATTTATTATTTAATTATTCTGATGGTGGTTCTTGACCCACAACACTAAGTATACTATTACTGTCCATACAATTACTTTTCGGGTTTTTACATGCGTCCGTATAAGATGTAAGGTAACAAGATTTTCCATTTTTAAAAATTTGTTACTTTAATGTTCTCATTAATTTTAAATAAAAGTCAACATATTACATAATAATATTGTAAATATTATATACAATGAGTAATGACGTGCCTTAAGCAAATTCCCAGAACTTCGTTTTCTTTTTTTTTCCTTCTTTTTTTTTCCTCCTGTTATATTCTTTAACCATTTTTGATGATAATGAAGGAACATATAAATCGTCTGCGTATTAAAATTGCTACAGTTAACATTGGCCGTTCCATCGGTGGCATACTTAAAAGCGCAAGTTCCATATTGCAAATCGTTGCAAATCATCGGACCTCCACTGTCCCCTTCACAAGATCTTGAATTACCCGGCACCACACATAAATGTTGTTTATATGATTCTTGCATTTTTTTATATCTATTTGAAATATTTATATACATTATATTTATAACAGTTTATAAATTATATTATATACATAAATATTACACATCGTATTTTACACAAGCTTTTTCTCCATGTAAGACATCAACTGTCACGACTCTTCCAAACAAACCATCATCAACCCTATCAACGTTTGCATCGTTAACTGCACCAAATCCAATTATTTTACAACTCAACTTTTTTCCATTTTTAAAATCATTAGGAGAACCACCAATTTTCGAAAATTTTTTGATATTCTTGAATGCTTTTTCTAGCTAAATTAAAATTTAAGTATAACTATGAATTATAATTATGGTGACTAGATATTAAAAAAAAAAAAGAAGTACAAAGCACAAAGGTTTTACAATACAAAATATTATTATATTATGTATAGATATAAAATATAATACAAAGTAAACAACCTTTATTTATTTTGAAACATAACTTACTGACATAAAATTTTATAAATTTATAATCTTATTATTATTTAAAAAATGCACCTATTTATTCTTTGACTTAAATCGTGTGACTCTCATAACAAAACAATTTAATAAATAATAAACTTTTAATAGAGAAAACATTCAAAAACTTTTTTACATATTATCATCTTTTAACCCACACATTTCACTTACCTACCTATTTAATGAGAATACAATTTAATATATTTAATAACTAACTTAAAAAAGGAACAAATATGAATATTTTTAATATTTTTGAGATCTATGCATTTCTTTCAGTACATTTGATCTGTTTTAAAATTATTAAACAATGAATAACACATTTTGTCATAAAAAATTTTAAAAACTTGAGTATTTTTGACATATTATCACATTTTAACCCTACGAAATGTGAAATAAAATTTAATATATTTAAAAACAAAATGTTTGCATAAGTAACAAAATTGGTATTACTTAAATTAAAACAGATACACAGGGATATTCTTAGTTTAACAAAAGTATATAGGTAGTAGGTGAATACTTTTAACACACAGACGTCATTCTTTTCTTCGGCTCCTGCACCGAGATAATTTTCATGTGAGTAAATTTTGACAACCTTATGCCATGTAGTTTTATGACTAAAGTTACCTCCAAAATACATTGATCCTTGACATACCTATTTTGACATTTATAAATTAGTTGCTTAAAAATTAAAAATGAAGTCATACTTACTTTAATCCCAGTTGGCTCGTATCCCACACAACAGTGGGCAGCTGTCAAAACCAACAATTTTTGTATCAATGAGCCTGTGCAACGATTTTTACTTAATGGATTTGTTTTTTCCAATCGAAGAAACATAACGTACGGATAATCTTTGGACTTAAATTGCTTGCCATTGTATACAAGTCCATTATGGACGTATAACGTTGAGTTATATTCAAATAATGCCACCATAATCAACAGTAATAAAATTTCTGAGAAAGTCATCTTTTCTTAAAATAATTGAAATACTTTGCATTCATATTATTAATATTTGTGTATACCAAAAGGTTGTATTATAAATATTTACAGTTGTCAATTATCATGACAACTACACAGCTGTATTGAAAATGTATAGTAACAGATTGTTAGTAGCTAGGTAGAAACTTGCCTCTTAGAAAAGGCGACTGTGAAATCCATTGCGGTTTGTGGATACACTCCTAAATCATGAACAAACGCACTATTGTAAGAATATTTCCGTATTTCTCCAGTAATTTTATAGATATATGGGTCCTTCTAGTACACACTAAACAAAAACATCTCAAAGCAGTAACTTTTTCATAATTAACGTAATAACATCAGTAAATTGATTTTATCACAAAAAAATACTATTCATAAATAAATACAAAAAGATCATAAATCAATACTCTTCATAATTAACACAAGATCATCATAAAATAAATTTAACACAAAACATTATAAAATAAATCTGCGAGCACATATTTTTCCAATAAATTCAATTACGAGGTTTTCCCCATCGATTTTTTAAGGGGTTTAAGATGGAAAATGTACAAAACTTTCTAATATATATACGGTCAATATTATTGATTCATAAGTGAGGATTGGCCCTTTGTGACCCAAGCCTCAGAGGCTGTAAACGAGTTGTGTCCCAAATCCTGAATTGCGTCATTATGTTTTTTTCGGGTTACACGAATTGTGTCCCCCAGTTTTTTCGGATTACACACAAGTTTGGTCTAACTAATATAAATAAAAAGCAAAAATAACTACATTAATAGTTTTTATAAAATTACATACTCGGCAAAAATTTAAATGATACCGTTTTTATAAATTTGAATTTTATTACTGAACTTTATTCAGTACCTAAATATCTTATAAAATATATGTTGGTATATTTTATACAACATTGAAATGGAAAAATTTATCGAATCGAATTTATAAAAACTTTTTATAAATAAACGAAATAGCATATTTTTAAACTTCATAAAACAGTTAGAATACAATTCGTGTTATCGGGACACAACTAGTGTACCCCATTTTTATGATTGGGACACAACTCGTGTACCCCACTTTTATCATCGGGACACAACACGTGTACCCCACTTTTATCATCGGGACACAACTCGTGTACGAGAAATTTGGTCGGGACACAACTCGTTCTGCGCCCCAGAAATATATTATATATTTAATCAATTTGTAATATAATATGAGCCACGCATCAGTGTGCGAAAGCACCACCGCACCGCCGCCAAATTTTATCTGCCCGCAATCACATTTTAGTATTTTACTATTTAGTCCGTTTAATTATCATAAAATATTAAACAAGTGGTGTACATATAATTAATTAATTATCCATTGAAATATTTGCTGATGCATTTTACAGAATTTTTTATCAAATTACAAATACTATTGTATTAGTACCTATTGGCTATTGCAACAATTCGTTGAAAATTTGATTTTCTTACTTAACCAATCTTCCTCGAAGTTTCAAATGTAATTATGTTATGAGTACTTTTGACAAGTATTATGACAGCTATACCTATATGGTTTTGTTACGTTTACGAAATAGTTGTGTACCTGACTACCTATTTGTGTGACGTTTTTGTGGAGTCTACAATGAATAATATGGTTACAATCCATTTAGTTTAGAAACATTAAAAGTAAGAAATACGATTAAAAGACTTTTTTACAGTTACAGCATAGTAATTTGGGTGTAGGGCAGGGTTATGGTTGGTACACTTGTGGATGGATTCTTCATTAAGACCCCGGGCTGATAATACTTTACTGTTTTGTTAAATACTTAAGGACAATGTATAGATGAAATACGATTAAAATATTATTTTTAAGTTGCAACATGGTCAAATATGGGTGTGTGGGGGTTACGGTTGGAACACGTGTGGAAGGATTCTTCACTGAAAACCCGTGTTGTCACCCATCCGGGAGACATCGACGCTGGACGATGCTTGACCGCAGCACACATTATAGTTGTCAACCACATTACCACACGCCAGGCCCCGATTAAAAGATAAATGTTGAAACTATGCAATAAATGTATTTACATACTTACTGATATTACTTCATTGAATACCATCTGAATATTTTTTTTCCGTGTACATTATCGATGATAAGGCTAATGAAATATTTACAACGCAAATCAAAACAATAAATTTAAAGAACCACTGATGTATAGTACACTGTACTCCGACCCACGAGAAAAGTATATAATCAAACACTTGCCTCCTAAAATGTGACCAGCTCTTATTGACCTGACAATTTTAAAATCTATTTTAAATATCGATACAAATCGTGAAAAACCACATAAAAAATCAAACGTGAAATCAAAATCAAAATGTTTTATTGATAATATATTAGATCGAAGAAAATGTATCGATAATTTATACGTCAATAATAATGATATTATGATTTTATTTTTGTTTAAAAATTGCCTTAAAAGTTTTAAAGTATTCAACACGTTTCTATGTTTTATATTGTTTATCGGTTCTTATAAGTAATAACTAATGTTTCGCTTGCATAGGTTCGATTCACGTCTAACTATAAAATGTATGGAACGCATGATCGACGAGGGGTTTCTCGAAGTTAGAAACTAAAATGATAAAACTGTAAAATTTATGTTCTAAATCGAAAAAAAAGATATATTATGTTAAAATACATAAAATAAATAAATTTCTATTGTTCGACAAATAAAATACCATAAAAGTATACATTTAATATATTATTTTGAATTTAAATGAGAAAAAAACTGTAGTAAGGAGAAAATATACGGGGAACAAATTTAGTTGTAAAGGGGTGAATAGGCGGTAGGGGAAGGTAATGGTTATAGGGGAGAGATATGTGTGTTATAATAAATATTGGAGATTTCCGCATATGATCTCCCTACTACTGTGTTGTACCTAACTGCCTAATGATATTTGAATCACCTACTTTTGTTATATAAATATTCAAAACACTTACCTCGCTGCAGCTGGTTCTCTCTTAAGTGTTTGCAGTCCTTCGGGGTCGTGTTCAATAGTCGGTATCACGATGACAATACATGTATATTCTTTTATGTGATCGGGTAAAAGAATGATTCAATATACATATATTGTATACGCATAAACGCACAGTGATGGCTTCAACAGTAGTGGAAAAAGATTGTGATGATGACTGGCGTGGACGTTGTGCATGAGTCTTCTCCTGAAAGATACTGTCGTGGACCATGTGTATCTCCGGAATAGACACTGGCGACGAGTCGATGCTCTGTGGCCCTTATATAATGTGATTTTGGTTGATCCCTTCTTCTTGTGCATCGATTAAAGTATTGATATATTTTTATTATTTCATGTGGTGCGACAACGGTACAGCTGGTAATTTATAGTTTTGTTTTGACCGAACGTCTTGATTGGAGAATTATCGAAGGGGACTTGAAGTATATAATATATATATATGTGTACGTACACGTGTGATGTACGTATATGTATATGAAAGAATGCTTTCATGATTTTATAATATACGGTGTTTACTGGCGCCGTTGATATTTGATTGTGTTGTCTCCACTAAATATCTGGTCGGAGAGGTGTAGAATATTATTTATGTGTTGCAGGTGCTGCGTGTATGTAAAATAAGTGCGTATATTGTAGGTATATATGTACCCAATGCGTACGTATATATGCATATCGGACCACCCACACCCCATAATATGGTCCGTCTTCATTATTTGTCTCGTGTTTTATTCTAAGTCTAAATATTATATATTACAAAACAAATATTGATAAGTAAAATAGAAAACTTTTGTTTCGATTCCAAGTCCTGCATTCGACATACAAACAACGTTTACTTCTTTCTTGGGCCGGAATCGTATAGGTATATGTAGGTCAAGATCAATGAGCTCACAGCAGACCAATGATACCACACTACCATAATTATGTAAAATATTATCAAAAATAAAGATAATTTTCAATATATTACAATTAATACTTTAATACAAACTATTATTTATTTAGACATGCTTGTGAGTTATGACAACGAGAATTACATTTTAAATTACTTTTAAAACAAGCACATTTTTTAGTTTGACATTTGCTTTTACAATAACAACTAAAAAAACCTTGACCTCCAGTTAAAGAAGAGACAATTTCTCTTAATGACATTTCTTTTGTCTTATTAACTTGCTCGATGTCAATGAAATTTGATGTGGCTGATTGTATATTTCCAGAACCATACCAACCTTTTAGTACACCATGTTCAGTTCCTATACGGTTAAGGTCATTTTTCTGGTCGATCACTACGCCAATAATGTTAGCTGGGTCTGCAGGACCTCTATCTACCTTCGGTAGATAAACTTTGCAGTAACACCATAAACGTAGTTTTCCCGAAGAAAAAAAAACAGTTTTCAACACTAAATTAGTCCGTAAAGTAAAAATAACTGTTCAGACATTAAAATTATAGAAGTTATACCAATATATGTAATAATGTGTTAGATATATGTTGTAAAAAAAAAAACTATTGAACACAAAAAAAAAAGTTTTCTCGCTTTTTAATGAACTTGTTGGCTCATTGCTTATATGAATTAGAAGACTAAAAATCAGTAAGTATACTTTGGTTTTTATTTAACTGCAACATCTGATATCATTGGCACCTATTGGTATAACGTTATAACGCCACAATAATGTCATATATTTATACTTTGAACATTAAAAATATAAAAAAAAAACAATTATTTTGGACACACACTACTGTGACTAGATGATACAACGGTTGAGAACCACTGACGTATAGTACACTGTACTCCGACCCACGAGAAAAGTGTATAATCACACACTTAACTGCTAAAATGTGATCAGGGCTTATTGACCTGACAATTTTAAAATCTATTTTAAATATCGATACAAATCGTAAAAAACCACATAAAAAATCAAACGTGAAATCAAAATCAAAATGTTTTAATGATAATATATTAGATCAAAGAAAATGTATCGATAATTTATACGTCA